CGTAGTTTAACTGCTTCGAAGTTCTCTTACCTAAATGATTTTAAAGTAGACAATATTTACATTTTTTAGTTATTGCTTTTAACTAAAATTAAAATTAAACATGTTTTTAGTTATTGCTTTTTATTCGACATGAAGTGTAGTTGGCTTAAAAAATTACAAAAAATTTTCTGGTTCTCTGTACGTAATCAGCTTATGGTTTATGGTAAATTTTTATAAGTTTTAATCAATTATATCACATATTACCAATTATATGAAATTAATGTTAATCTAAACTTTAAAAACTAATTTTGTGGTTTGAAGCAATTTTGCTTAAAATGGGAATACAATCTCATAAATATTTCCGTAACCTTTTTTTTGTTTTTTTCTCCCTGCCTTGCCTTATAGGCAATACGGGTTGTAGCAGCAGTTTGCGTATGCCACTGCTGGCAGTATAGGTCTATTTTATTAAAATTTTGTTAACATTATTATTTATGAAGTGACAGTGGCGGATCCAGGATTTTTCTCAGAGGGGGCGCACCTCTGTACCAGGAGCTTCCCCACCCGTATCCGTCCCCCCACCACTACCCATCTTCCCCCACTCCTTAACTGAGTTTAGCCGCTCAAAAGTCCTCTTTAAATGGTTTTAACATAAGTAAACTCTATTTTTATTTAAAGTAAATTTTGTCTAGTTTACAGTGAAACAATCGTTAATTACTTAAATTAAATAGTTTTTTTGTTATCACTTCCTATTCAACAAAAAACGTGGCTTACATGAAAAATCACAAAACTTTAATTCCCTACTTTTCTGCTGAAAATCGAACCATTGTTTATATAAACTTTTTTTGTATTTATTGAGTTTTGCTATCACTCCTTTAAATATTTCCCTCTACTTACAAGACACTCTGTGTATGGGTTTAGACATGTAAAAAACTAAATTCTGACACGGGTCACCAAGAGAAAACGTTTTACAGCCTAAAAAGATCTTTTTTTTCATGTATTACTACTAAACAGTGCATTAAAGCGAAAAACGTATTCTTTAAGAAATTAAAGAACGTCAAATTGTGCGTCGAACGAATACCTAAACTTAATAATTTGATTAAGTGATATGGTCGATAACCACGGTCAATGAACGCTAATTTATACCGATATTGTCAAAATCTGAGAAAGATTATTATAAATGGCACTGCAGCTTGGAAATGGGTACTCTAAGAACAAAACCTCTAAGAATAATTTCTGATTCCGATCAAATCGGAGACCAAATATTTAGTACCTTCCTTCAAGAAAACGTTCCCAACAGCAGCTATTTCAAGAAAATAACAACACTCTCTAATGAGAAATGTACAGATTATTATTGTGACCAGTTTTATGAATCGCATGAATTCTTCAAGGAGACTATAGTTGTTGGAGGTTGCAATGCATCCATATCTTCTAGTTTCTTTTGCTCAAATAAAAGGTTGTTCGAAAGTATAAATGAAGTTTATTTATTTTTTAAATAAATTTTCCTTCATCGTGTATTTCACCTGCGAGATTCAGATCGAAGTCAATAGGAACAAAGTGCGACAAGAGCACAAACCTTCGCATCTTACGGCGGCTCAAAAATTACATCACTCTTTTCTTTGAATAGCTGTTTTTTGGAACTTCTTCGGATTTTTTTGTCCACCATTCAGAGGGAGGGTCGCCTTCTTGCAGAATTCGCTTGTGCTCGTCACGATAATATATATTTTTAATATATTACATTAGAAAATTCGTCTATGAGGATGAATTTTCAGTGTATTTTTCTTACACAGATGCTTAAAATATTAGTTTTCGAAAGAAAGGCCCTTCAGAGGATATTTGGCCCAGTTGAAGAGAATGGTGAATGGAGAATTAGATGCAACCAAGAACTAGCTAACTTATACAAGGAGCCGAATGTGGTGAAATATATCCGGATTAGGCTGAGATCGGATGGAAAAGTTGTGCGGATGGACGAGACCTCAATCCCAAAGAAGCTGCTGAGCATGGAGTCGGTTGGAAAAGGAAAAGTGGATATACCGAAACTGAGATGGAAAATGGAGTATCTGATGCCAGAATACATGGATTCTGGAACTGGTAAAGGCTGCTCAGAAAAGAAAAACATGGAGGAAAACTCTAGAGGCAGCCAAGTTCCAGTAATGGATTGTGGAAATGATGATATTGATCACTTCATTTGAAAATTCGTCTTAAAGGATGATTTTTCCTATACTTCTCTTTTCTTTAAATAGCGGTTTTTGGATAGTTTATTCGGAATTATTTATCTACCATCCAGAGGGGGGAGGGAGTGTCCTGGTAGAAATTACTAGAGCTGGTCACGATTACATTAGAAAATTTATCTATGAGGATGACTAATTATTTCTTTTTTCATTAAATAGCTGCTTTCCGGAACTTTTTCCCCACCATCCAGAAGAGAGAGGAGGCTAGATCCGCTAGTACTGGTCATGAAATTTTTTTTTTATATTATATTAGAACATTGGTCTTAGAGGATGAATTTTTCCTATATTTCTCTTTTCTCAAAATATATGTTTTTTTTTTTGGATTTTTTTTTCCGCTATCCAAGGGAGGGCGCCCCCTGGTAGAATTCGCTAGTGCTGGTCACGGTTATAATTTATTTTTTATATTACATTAGGAAATTCTTGAATAATAATCTATTTTCCCTATATTTCTCTTTTCTTCAAATAAGTGTTTCTGTCACTTTTTTTGAAATGTTTTCACCACCTAAGGGAGGGTGCGTCCCCTGACAGAATCGCTAGTTCTGTATAATATGTTTTTTTTATATTACTTTAGGAAATTCATGTATGAGGATGAATTTTCCCTACATTTCTCTTTTCTTTAAATAGACGTTTTGTCACTATTTTGGAATTTTTTTCCACCTTCCATGGGAGGGAGCGCCCCCTGGGAAAATTCGCTAATGCTGGTCACGATAATATTTTTTTTATATTACCTTAGGATATTCATCGTCTATGAGGACGAATTTCCCTATATTTCTCTTTCCTTTAAATAGCTGCTTTTTGGAAATTTTTTTCAGCTCCCAGGGGAGGAGCGCGTGCCCTCTGCTATCCACTCTGCTGGATCCGCTAGTGTGAAGTGTAGACTTGTTTGTGTGCACAAGCCCGCAAACCCCACTTTTCTTTTTTCCATTCTTCCATCTGATGCCGGTCCTCGAAGCAGCTGCAGCTTGTTGTAGGCCTACTGCATCTTTCCACCCGCATACGAATTCCCCATAATGTGAGTAATTCTCTCTGCTCATTAGCTGTGGGAACATGCTCTCTGTCAGTGTATATATCCCCATCTATCTCAGGAGCTTAGCTCTTAGTGCCTCATAGGCAGTGCATTCGACGACCACATGTTCGGCGGTCTCCGGAACGTTGCAGTTGGGGCATAGCGGATCAATATTCTTCCCGTGAATGACAAGCTTCGCTCGGAAGTCCCCATGTCCCGTGAGGATTTGAGATACTAAGTAATCCGGAAGTACCCATCTTGCATCTAATCGTGGCATGACCGTGGGGAAGTACTTTCTTAGGATAGCTCCCTTCGGAGTCGCCATCCACCGTCGGTTCCATTGATCAACTGTGTCCTCCCTGATAATTATTTTCCATATTCTTGGGTCTTCTTTAATTCTCATCTGTAGATATTCCGGTAGATCCAACGAATCTTCTCTTCTCATTTTAAGGAGGTAATAGTCTTCTCGCAGGAGGAGATGGAGAGGTATCCCCCTCGTCTGCCAGTACTTGCACTGCCTCATGAGATATCGTTCTATAGGCTCTAGTAACCCGAAGTAAAGCCAATCTCTGAATCGATGCTAGCCTACTCTTCTGTCGGTGCGTGAGGCTTATGTTCCAGGCTGGGGACGCATATATATCTCAAAATACCTAAAACTACTCCTTTGTATAGAGTCGTTGTAGCTGGGTATCTGAGCCCCTGTAGGACCACTGTGACTCTAGTTCTCATATAGTCTAGGTGAGAAGTCACGTTGAACTTTCGACCAATTTTTATGCCAAGGTAGGTGACAACTTCACTTGGACGTATCCTTTCTTTTTCTATACTCAACATAATATGATGTGCCCTGTCAGTCGTACCCTTCAAGAGAATTGCCTGGGTCTTTGTTGCAGCCATCTTTAACTTCTTCCTCCCGCACCATCTACGATGCGCCAGTTTGGTAGGAACCGCCATCTTCCTACCAAACTGGCGTATCGTTCAGCTTCTACTTTCAGACTGGCTATACTGTTTGAGGCCACCACGGCGGCTAAATCGTCAACATAGCCGGAAGGGAACCGCTCCTCTTTGAGCTTCTCCAGCAACTCCTCAAAGACTAGCTTCCGCAAGGCAGGACCCAGAACAGATCCCTGCGGGCAGCGGGTCTCAACGGTGTCTTCTACTTCAAAGAATCTGCCCCTAATTTTCAATGTCCGGTCCTAGAGGTAGCTTCCCACTAGTTCGTAGAAGTTACTGGGAGTTTCATACTTTTGGAGTTGCTGGAGAACACTTGGCCACTGACTGTACTGCTCTAAAAGCATAATGATGATTTGAAGTAGGCTGAACCTTAACTAAATCTTGAATGTAGTGTTCAGATAAGATATTTGAGCGAAATAGTGGCGTTGAATAGAAATAGAATTAAGATATTATAGATGTATGGAAACTTATTTGATATTCAGATTAGAGTTGTATCTCTTCCTGCTATGGGTTTGTGATCCAGCATGAACTTATCATGATTGTACATCTTTGCCATTACTACCCTTCCTGATTAATTAAAATAATATAATCAATATATTATTAGCAATGTTAAAGAAAACTAACTGTTTGGAAATTTTTTTGATGCTGTGTATATCAAATAAATAAAATTGATATTCAATACAACTACTATGTCAATTAATATGCTAAGAGAGTAAATCTGACTTTAAATTAATTTCATTATAAATAATTGTTTTCCTCAAGGAGACGTCATTAGAAATAATCTCTGATATCTTTTATTAAGTTTCTCACCTTACTGTTGTTTTCTCTTTGCTCCAGAATGTTCCCTCCACCGGCATTGGGTTTATTACTCTCCATCGTATATGTAATTTATTGTTTTGTTAGTTATGTCAAAACTTGTGATAATTGATAATGATTGTGGCATTGATGATGCATGGGCATTGAATTTTTTACTGAATTTGGACAAAAGTATTAAAATATTAGCCATAACATGCGTTGATGGTAATACTGGTGTTGATAATGTGATTAAAAATAATTTGTATTTTTTAAAAATGGCTGGAAGATGTGAGGTGATTTAATTCAAAATATTTTTTTTTTAATCTCTTTATTTGGTGCTGAAGTATTATAATATAAATAATTTAGTTTTTTATTTTTTTTAAATATATTATTCATTTTATTAATCATAAGTTTTATTTTTATTCTTAATCTCTAGATCCCTGTTTATAGAGGTGCAGCATCTCATTTATTGCCTGGAAATGACCATAGTGTAGCTCCATCTCACACATACTTCCATGGTATAAATGGATTCGGTGATGTAAGTTTGCCTGATTTACCTGATGTATGTCAAGAAAAGGAAGAAAATGCTGTAGCTATTTTAAATGAATTAACCTCAAAGCATAAAGGTTTTTTCCTTGCTTAATATATTTTGAGAAAAAAAATTGGAATCAGTGATTTAGTAATCTAAATATTTTCAGGAGAAATAAGTATTATCTGCTGTGGCCCGTTAACCAATGTTGCTCTTGCTCTAAGGACTTATCCTCATTTTAAAGAAAATGTTAAAGATTTGTACATAATGGGGGGAAATTATACAGGTATTATTTTTTTTTTTTTTCGTTCATTTAAATCTTTATCCTTTTCAAGTATCAAACCACATATAAATCTCGGTACTAGTTCACAAGAGTTCCGCACGGATTACGCATGGTTCACAATCACTACGGTCACACTTGTTCCTGGAATCCCGAATGCGTTCGGGTTTATCCGAAAGATAACGAAGGCGACCGATCTCTTGGGCCAGTTACTATTAACTTTCCCGCCATTTAATAAGTACTTCTATAACCTTAACCATGTTCAGTTCTATAGCAGGAGCCGACTTACATTCTAAATTAAGGTTTTCACATCATGAAACCTGAATTGAACTTGTACATATATCATAGATCTGTAAAAAAGAAACAGTAATAGATAAACACCTTTAATTATGACATCTCTGAATGCTATTTCACGATATTATTTTTCCTATTGATGATTTTCATTATTCATTATCTTGGAATTATCGGTATATTCATAAATCTTTAATCTGACATTATTTTCATAAAAAGCGTCTTTGACAACTCAATAGTGGACTCTTATATCTTAGAAATCCAAAAATCTACAAAAAATCGACGAACAATTTTAAATCCGACAGTATATTCATAAAAAGCTCTGACGACTAGAAAATAGTGGATCCGTATATCTAAGAATTGAAAAAAGTTACATAAACTTGATGCTTAATCTCAAATCTGACAGTATATGCATACAAAGCGCTTCCCTCCCCCCACTATGAAATCGGCTGTTTTCGGGATTCCTTGAACAAGTGTGGTCGAAGTGATTGTGAACCACGCGTAATCCGTGCGGAACTGTTGTGAACTAGTACCTAAATCTCTTCATCATCAATATTAAAGAAGAAAGACTTTTTTGTTTCTGTTTCATTCATCTTTTGATTAATATATATTTCTTTAATAAATCATTTAGTGAACAGTTAAAGTAATAATTAGGACTTTCAATTTTACTGAATTATTAAATAAAGTTAATCTATGTATCAATCATTCAATGAATCTTTTACTGTTAAAGACATTATGAAATTTTTATTACTTGTGAACTTACTTAAGAGTAGTTCGATCTAATCGGAATTTTTCATTTTTTTTTTTTTTCTTTTTTTTTCTAGGGAAGGGTAATATAACTATGACTGCTGAATTTAATTTTTATTGGGATCCTGAAGCTGCTTTTATTGTTTTATCTGAATTAGAAAATAAGATTGTACTACTTCCTTGGGAAACTTGTCTTAGTGTAAATGTGCCTTTTGTAAGGATCATCTTTGTATTATTTGTAACTATATACTACATAACTGTTTACTAACTTGCAAAAGAACGTTGTTGTTTTTTTTTCAACTTATTTGCCTTAAGTATCATGGCTTCAGCAATCATTTGAATTCCTTCTTTAACACCATATTTCATCTTTAAATATCCTTTCTCTTCAGCTGTTAATAAATCATCTAGAATGTTTTAAGGACTTTTATTATATGTAAGCATGGCATATTTTTTTCTTGTCTTTCAAAATGGCTACCAAATACATAGGCCGAATTGCGTATCAAATGGATGTCCTCATTTGCAATCCCCAATGTTTTCATCTCTGTAATGTATATTGGTGGATATTTCCATATTTGAATGTTAATATTCCAATTCGATTGTGGTCTTAGTTGTTATTCGTTTATTTCTTCTCTGACTTGACTTATGGGTCATACAAGTTTGACCATACTGGATTAATACACAGAGTGTTTATATGCCATTGCTGACAATAAAATTTGTAATATATTTTATGTAATTTTTATAAGTTATTTATAATTGTCCGAACAATAAAGGGTGTTCTAGTCCTGTGAATAGGTCTGTGCAGAACTGTTTTTCTCCTTGTCCTGGATTACTGTCATCACCTTTAAGCTGCTGCCTGTAGTTCAGCCATGATCCCTCTCTTCTTCTAACTCTGTAGGTAGTTCAGATTATGAAAAAATAAAGAAGGCTATGTGTAGGACCATACATCTAGATTTATCCAAAATTGAGAGAAATCTTTTCATGTTGCACTCACTGTAAACTTCATAACTTAACAATAGAACCAGTTATAAATAGTTTCTGTTGAAGTTAATTCATTCTATAAGACATTCATTATGTTGAAACACTAAAAATATATCTGCAATAAAATTGTAAAACAGTTCGTTAATTAAAGGATGGTATGTTGATATCCTATCAGATATGTTCATCTTTAATTTTTTTATAAATAATCAGTATGTCCTAATGACATTGCCAGCCTTAAGGTGGGACAACCAGGGTATTGCCCATTGGGGGCACCAGCCAATCTTCAGGGATGCTTGCCATTTGTTAAAAATAAAAAAATTACAAAACATTAAAATAATTAATTGTAGCGTATCAATAAAACAACTGTATTAGAGAAATGCTGAATAAAATAAAATTCAAATAATATGTGTTTTAAAATGGCTTAAGCAATAAATTTATATTTTTTAAGGGGAAGGAGATGATGTCATTGCCTGGGGGTCACCGAATGTTCAAGGCCGGCTCTGCCTGATGATGTGCTAAAATAAAAATTATTTAAACTTTGTTTAATGTCCCTCAAGACTCATTTATTAATTACAGGTACCTATTAAATGTTTTAAGGTACCTTATATTATTGCTAAATGATACCTTGCGAATGTGCAGAATTGCATACATAGATACACAACAAAAATGCTGAAAAAAAAAAAATTACAACCCATAGAAGTAGAATACTGTATCAGATTGAAATAATCATTATCCAACTGCTTTTCATGAATATGCATTCTTGAATCAAGGTTGAATCTGTGTCCTTTTAACGGATATCACAAACAAGTAGAAATATGTTTATAATTCATTCTGTTTCCAGCTTGTTTCAATGATAAACTGCCAGATTAAATCTAGGACCAAGAGAATAGGTTCAAAAATGTTTTTTATGTACGTAATTTGGAAAATAAATGGCAGTTTCAACTTTTATTTATTATATCTGTAGTGTAATAATGTATTTCATTACTCTCTACAAGGGTGTTTAACAGTCAAATACTGATGTACAAGTATACACAAATTTATTATAACTATAGGTTTAGTGGATTTATTCAATGTGAATGGTTAAGCTTTAATTTTACATGCTATAAATTGTAAATTTATACCTAATTTTTTTATTTAGAAATGGAGAGAAGAACTTGGCAGTAATGGTGGGAAATTAATGTCACTTTTAAATAAAATTGAAGAACCAATTGTGTTGAGGACCTCAAAACTTGGATACACGCACTGGATTTCTGCTGATCAACTACTTGCTGCTATTTTTATCAACAAGTAATTTGATTTATGTTGTATTATTTTATTACTTTCAATTTTTAAAAATCTTATGTCAATATTTTAACCTTAAATAAGATTAATCTGCTCAAAGAGATTAATTAATCTCTGTTTCAAAACATTCTTGGGATTTCAATAAAAAGTTTAGGCCATAAAACACAGATATTGTTCAAGCTGTTCGCTCATACAATCGTTACGTATCTTTTTGCAAATCTATTAAATACATTTTATTCAATAATGGGACAGTGTTTTCTCAAATTGTTTTAAAACACTCAGGTGATCTCACCAAAACACATGAGTTATCAAACTTAAAAATCGATCCAGCTTTTCACTGGAGCCTCTTAGGAAATCTATTAGATCCTTTGTATTCAATCAGAGGATAGTTATGTTATCTCAAATTGTTTCGAAGTACGTGATCTCACAAAAAATCTATGCTTCAAAAATTGTTATATAGCTTTTAGTAGGCAACCCAAACACATAACCCTCATTTTAATTAAGATACAAGTGGTAAGTGAAATTTTTGTAATTTCAGAAACAATATCTTAATTTTATTTTATTTTTCAGAGATTTAATCAAAGAATCCAGATCTGTTCATGCAACAGTGGAATTAATGGGTAATGTATAGATACAATAAATATAAGTTATTGTGAATGATTTAATTTTATTATAGACTCTTAAATTAATTCAAAAGCTATGAAATCTTTAATTTGTGAAGCAGAATTTTCTATTCTAACTTTTTTAAGTTTTCTGTTTAATAATTATTAAATCAATTATAATTTATACAACAGGGATTGATAGCATTCGTGACATCTAAATTTTGTATCCAGTTTATTTTCATACTATGGAGTACTATGGGGTTTGTTATAATCAATTAACTGGTAATAATCCTTTTTTTCAGCTTTTATTTACTTTAAAAAAGAGATAACAGTTATGTTTTCTTTAGCATATTTAGTCGCATGAATACATGCCAAGCGCCATATTATAGCTGCCATAGTAAGCACCATATCTTCGGTACCGGGTTTATTGATCGTAAGAGTGCAAGGTCGTTAATTTCAGATTTCAAGCCTGTAAATCCCAGAATTTGCTACTTAAGAATAAAAGGATTTTTTTTTAATTATAGCCTTTTCAGTGCTCATGCACCCACGGAAATGTCAGATGGCATAGAAAAGAATTAGTTTTACGAGACTCTTGAAAAAAAACAGTAGATACATGCCCTAGAGTTGACATAAAGATAATAACGGGTGATTTCAACTCAAAGATTGGCAATGAGAGCTTATTCTTCCTGACTATTGGTCAGCATAGTCTGCACAATGACACTAATGATAATGGTGGACAAAGATTAGTGAACTTGACCGCATCTAAAAATCTAATCATAGGTAGCACACTCTTCCCACACAGAAATATTCATAAAGGTACATGGAAATCCCCAGATGGGGGAATTATAAATCAAATCGATCATATCTTGATTAGTGCAAGACAACACTCTAATCTGATCAATGTCAGAACCTACAGAGGAGCCAACATTGATTCTGATCACTTGAAAGAAATATCATGAGAAAAGGTTACACAAGAGAAAAAAACAGGAATACAAAAGCAATGAGTTGGAGGCCATTGAAGAACACAGGAACCTTAACGAAGTGAGGAAATTTTACCAAAAAATTAACGAAGGTCGCAAACCTTATCTACCAGTAATTTCTTCATGCAGAGATGGAAATGGTAGTCTTCTGACAGAAAAGACGGGTATTCTAAATAGATGCAGAAGATATTTCGAAGACCTCCTTACTGAAGGATTGAGAAATAACATTGATGAGGATGCTGTAACACCTGCTTATGCAGGTCAAGACTCTTCATGAGTTGTAGTGTCATGGAAGAACAAGATAAATACTTGCCAAACAGCGTTTTTCAACACTATTGTCATCAAAGGAGTCGAAGCTGAGGTTTTTATGCAACTTTCCTGCTTACAGCTGTTGCATTTCTGGTTTCAAAAGTTTCATGAGATTAAATTTGAATTTCATGTATCATATACTAATCATCATGGGTGATAAATATTCAGGGCGTAGTCTTTTTTAAAATTTTTTTTATTTTTGCCAATGTTTCAACCCAAACACGTGGGTCATCTTCAGGGCATGGTTTGAGCACTGAGGTTGTTCATGTACTCAAACGTTGGCAAAAATAAAAACAAATTTTAAAAAAGACTGCGTCCTGAATATTTATCACCGATGATATGTAGAACAGTCGACTAACTTCCTTCAAGAAATATACTAATCATATTTTGTACTCGTAGTAATAAATCTTCAGACCAGCTTTTACTATATTTTCCTTAAAACATGTATTTTTATATTTTATACCAAATGAAAGTGCTGGATGATTGTATACCCAATGAAATTGCAGTACTCAGCTCTGATTATTATGCTTTTCAATTCTTGATTTTCTTGCTCACGTAAAATCTTAAATTCTTATTGATTAATAGAGTTAAATTATACTAAATTAAGCTATTTATTTTGTTTTTTACATTACTTTAACAATATTTTTAGTTATAGTACTGACAAGGTTGTTTGTTTGAATGTAGGTTTACTAACCAGAGGACAAGTTGTTATAGACCACTTGAATGTGCACAAACCCAATATAATGCTTATAACAGAAGTGGATACTGATTTGTATAAAGAAATGCTTCTGACATTAAAAAAATTCTAATAATTTATTTTTGAATTATGTTCATTTTTATTTTCCTATGATAAAATTTTAATTTATTCTTACCTTTAATAGTATTCTCTTGGTTTTCATTAATTATAATGCTATGTTCGAAATAATTCAATTTTAAGAAATTCATCCAGTCTCAGCCCAAAATATGGAATTGCTATTACTGAGAAATATAAATATAGTTAACTAATGAGCTTTCAAGTGATTGATTAATGGGCTTCAATTAAGTTATTTGGTAAGATGGCCTCTCACCAATGCTGTTCAAATTAGCAGTAATAATTAGTTATTTTAATTTGGCTTCAACAGGGACATAGACTCTAGAATCTGCTTCCAAGACCAAATACTTTTACCCTGTTCTCTTCACATACTCCCCACCATCTATTAGTTGATTTTTTATTGATTAGAAATTTATGTAGGAGCAATCATGACTTTATTATATGTCAGCAACCTTTATTTTATTTTGTTCAATATAAATTATTTTGATACAATATTATTGCTTTTTACTTTACCATATCACTTCACTTATTAAATATAAAAATAATATAATCAAACTGAACCCACATAGTATACTTAGCGAGGAACCTATCTTATCCAGATTAAGTGAGGATAATAGGTGTATTAATAGAACTTAAATAATTTATATGTATATATAATTTATATCATTCCAAAAATTATTAATATCAGAAATAATAATAAAAATTATGCTCCTAACAAGAATGGAAAGAGAACATAGCAATTGGTTAATATCAATACATCTTCCAAAATTAAACAGTTTGATAGTACAAATCATAAGTGGAGCATTAGGTAATAAAATAGAAATAGAAATAAAATGAACTTTTAAGACATTGGTTGAAAACATAGAAGTATTGTTCAAATCAAAACCTTTTTCTCATCCGATAGCATTCTGTTATAAAATGATACGGTGAGTTTGAAAAAAATCAGAAGTATTTTTCCTCTATGTTTACTGAAACAAGTGTGTAAAAACTTAAATATATCATGACTTTTTTTTTTAAATCTTTGGTATTATGATTTAAGAAGAGAAGATATACACCCCTTTCATGATTACTTCTGTAACCAAACATCATCTGAATCAGATCATTGATTATATCATAAACATTATTGCAAATGAGTAGTTAAGAAAAATCTAAAATTATACTCCTTCAAACTGATGCTTAACATTTAATATGCAACAAGAATACCAGTAAAGAAAAAAGGGAAAGAAAAATAGTTCTTAAGAATTTTAAAAATATAATAATATGTATATTTACTTAATACATTAGCTTTAAACAAACTATAATTTATTATAAACTGAAGTGAGAAAAAGATACTTAAGGTTAGTTTACACAAGTAAAATGAAGGTAACCTTGGAATGTAAAAACAGTTTTAAGTTAACATCTTAATTTGGCATATTTAGTTCTTACAGTCTTTTTGTACATCATTCCTAAGTTCTTTACTTGACTGAAGCAATTCTTTCAGCCTTGCCTGAATATTTTCATTTTTTTGTTCTAACTGATCTAATGCATTGTTTAATTCATCCAGCTGGTCATTTAATCTTTCAACATCTGAAAAACAACAATTCTGTTTCAAAACTAAAAACTCTTTCATAAGAATTACCAGATATAATAAATACAGCAAGGTTACAGATATGATATTTTATACATAATAAAATATTAATCAGCTTAAATTACATTGCTGTTTTTTACTTTCACTCATTATGCTCATCTAAGAGGGATATACAAGTCTCCAAGTGGTCCTTAACAGATGAGGTCAGGACTTAACTAGACGGTTCAGTTATTGCCAGCCATTCTCAAGATACCATTTAGGGTCAGCCTATGAGTGGGAGCGGGGTGGCCGAGCGGGCTAATGTGTGTGCACAGCACTGCGCGCTGTTCTGCAACCTGATAACCCAAGTTATGGATGATAAAATTGCAAGATCACGCCTCGGTGCCAGAGGGGGATCTTTTAACTCTGGCATTAATCCTGGACCCAGGAAAACCCCTTATAGCCTAAAATGCAAGGAAGGGGAGAACTAAAAAAAATCTGACCATGAAACTTATGCCATCCATCGAAGCGGAGTGATATAAGTACAATAGTACTCAACACTTTTGTACAAGGTAAGTTCTTGGTTCAAGAATACACTTTGTATAAAATTTTGAAATTTTAGATGAATACAATAATACTATAATTGATAAATTGGGAAACTCTGACTCGCTGTGAGTTATAGTGCCGAAAAGAAGATTAATTGATCCTTACATTAGCTTCAAATGATATCTCTAAGATTTCTAATTTCTGTATCAAATAAATGTCACTTCTACAATAGTTTGTCAAGGAGTATTAGCAATTGTGAAACAACATTTATCTATAATAGTCAATTTATTTGTAATTAGCTGGCATTCAATCACAATATTAAAAATTGGTTACAGTGTGGCATTAATTTAAGCAACATGCATTAGAACACACAAGAAAAATCAAGTAAATAATTAAATATCAATACATTAATTTTCATTATTTGCCTAAAACTACATCTCAGTTACGTACAGATCTTCTCGGACCATCTAAGTTATGAAACTGCTATAAGTAATTATATAAAAGATGTAGAACCATCATTTAAAATATGACAGTAAACCAAATCCAAATCTTCAATACACTGAAAAATAAAATCTATTTTTTCATTATGAGAAAGAATGTAAACTACATATCATCACATACTTTAGAATTATTGGGAACAGCAGTAAACAAAAATAAAAGAAAGAAAACCTTAGAAAAAAGTAAAAAATTGAAATCAGAAACCTTCATCAGATATATTATTGGCATCCATTTCTTCCTGGGGTTCTTCATTGTTTGGATCTGGAGGTTGTGTATTGTCACCATATTCTCTGATATTGTCACTGTTCCATCTCATAATGTATGTCCTAGTTAATAATAAATTAAATTAGAAGGAATCCCAAGTGACAATTAACCAAAAATGGTTGTTATTACCTGAACGGGTCGTTTGATAAAACAATCAGCTGATGATAAGGTCACAAAGAATAACTGAAAAAACTTTTCATCTACTATGTGCCTTGTCGGTCATGCTCTTTATGTTTGACATAAAAAATATCAGAAATTTTATTACGATTAAAAACAAAATCTTAATCTGCAGTGATGCAAACAACAAGTTTATCAGCAAAAAAGCGGATGCGAATTCAATCAATACAAGTGACATGAGGAAGGTAGATAACCAACTTTACATACTCCTAACTTGAAAAAATAATGAATACAGATCTCTTAACCAGCTCCTTTTGCTGTCATATGTGTTGTAGTACTGTTACAGTACTACAACACAATTTAAGCATAAATTCATACAGTACTACTGTATATACATAAATTTATACAGTAAGTAAGTACATAAATTTATACAGTATTACTGTAGCCCGTGATAAAAAAGATGTCATATTTCATACTAAGGTTTGTCCTTATTAATTGATCATACCCACAGGCCTGATGTGAACAGAGTACAACTGTCAGCACATAGCCGCATGATTACAAAATGGCGGTCAGGTGAAGATAGATAGAGACATTAAGTAGTAAACGTATATATAGAGAGGGCTTATCGATATAGAAAGCTACCAACCATTTCAATTTATAGTATTTACAGTCTTAAGACATGAAATAATAGTCAGTTAACCCATACCCGTGGATTTAGAGTCAAACAATTAGAGAATTTATGACTCAAAAAATTTACTTTTTTTCGGTTTTTCGTTTATATCAGTGGGAATATGTATACGCTATATTCTATAGTTTCCGTAATATCCATTCTCGTAATTCACTAACTTACTAAAAAAAAAATGTTTTTCCCTCGCATTTTTATCATTATTTGCCTCACCAACTCTTTATCTTTTCATTTTATGAAAAAGTCATAAGGAAGAAAGCTGTTTAATAATAAATTTTCTTTAATATCTTATCTTCCACCATTTATAGGCTAGAGCAATTATAACGTAATGATTAATCTCCGGAACTATACAGAGAAACATACTTTTCACAATTTTCTTTATCACACAGCTCTAAATCTGTCTTACAATTAAGGAAGGGGAGAATAAAGAAAAAGTCCTTATGGCTGTTAGTAAGTTAGTGTTGGGACATTGTTTATGAACTAGAGCGACAGCGTTCATGAACATGCCATGATATAGCTGTCGTGTCGTAGCGTGAAGGTGGTGTGCTTTATGACACTGTTAAGTTTGATTTTCTGTTCTTTAAACCAATCCTGCAATTGTTGTAAAGAATGTTACAGAATTAGTGTGCCTAAGTGATGCCAGCATGTCTAGTGAGAATAGCAATGTCATCAACATAGGTTGCAATTAATATTTTATGTATTAATTAGTGTTCGGCCGTGCATACACGTAATGATATCTCTGTAAGGTAAACCGGAAAAGTATACATGTAAAGGCTAGAGCATACACAAGCTACGATAAACATTTTAGGCCATTCTAAAGATGGCGAGCAGACACGAAGACGACGAGGTCGCTTTACTTGATTATAAACTGTACTAATTAACCTAAAAATTTTACAGATATACCGGAGCGACTCACACAGGTCTACACGCATGCGTAGGTAAAAAATACTGAATTTCGATTCTTCTTCGGTCGCCTAAACAGGTCGCTAAGCGTTCAGGTAGTCTGGCCTTCAGCGACTGGCACACACGCTCCAGTAACCGAAACGTGTACCGCTTAACGGTATACTGCAACGTTTGTACCCGACCTTAGGATAAGTTGGTTCTATGTTTATCTAATGTACAATAAAATTGCAAGAATTGATCCTTACGGTATTCCGGCCATAACCTGCAGTCCGTGACTCCGTGTAGTTGTAGTATGGTTGAATGTAGTGACTGAAATACGAATTGGTATTCAGGGAGTATTGTTTATCAGTATGTTAAGTAAACGTCTCAAAAATAATGTTACAAACATTTCAGATCAACTTGGAAGTAGAATAAAGAGTCTGTATGAAATGGGATATCGTAATTTTCATTCGGTTTTAGTAAAATTAAAACTCGTGAATACGTCTACAATGGATATTTTATTTTCCTTAGTAAGGGCATAGAATTGGGTTATTAGTAACACAAAGAAATCATATATAATTGCTAGAAGAGGCTACCCTAGGATATGTAGTGTATGTGACCTTTCTCAATAGTGTGGAGGATGTATGTAGTATGCTGTATATAGTGTTCTGTATAGTGTGTGTGAATGTTAAGTGTACTGTTCCCCCAGCCTGGAGGGCCAGTAACTGCTTGCAGTCTTACGATTGAGCGATGGGGCTTCTCCTCACCTGACCATCGTCAGTACTGAGATTATTTATAAATGTATCATTGATAGTATCAAGGGTGCACATCCCCCCTCCCAAAGTCGATGGCGCAAGAATCTGGCCCTCCTCCCTTCTTCCTAGATATTTTATTGCTCACCTCTTCTTAAAAACAGAGCATGCTAAGGTAGAATTAGAAAAATCGTAGAATATATATAATCACTCTTGCTGCGGTATGTTTCATGTTTTTCCCCTTGTCTCTTACTCTGTAATTTCATAACCCTGTCGAAATTTGCCATTTCTAACATTAAAGAACCCCGTCAAAATATACTTTCCTAAAAAAACTTGTGCTATGAAATCCCCTTCTGGTCACCCTTGGTTAGTATGTTCGAATTTCGTGAAATACAAGTATATCTAGGTACGCCTTCGTATACCTAAGAGGTCCTTGATTGACATTTTAAATAACACAATTTTTGTAACCCGCATTTATTTGGAACTAAAAAATAACCCTTTATGTCATCCCAACTCAACGATTATCATGGATCTTATTAAAATTCTGGTACCGCTACCTTAATTTACTTAATTGTGTGTTGATGGTTGACTGTAGTTGAATATTGAATAATTGAAGATAAGATTGGTTAGGGCGATCAGTCAAAAAAATAAAATAAATCTTGCCAGACAATCCACTGATTTTCAATTATGTTTTAGACAGGTGTGGATGTATACAGTTATAATAAAAAAATAAATAAATACCTCATTTATTTTTACATTTTTTTTTTTTTTTTTTTTTTTTTTTTTTTTTTTTTTTTTTTTTTTTTTTTTTTTTTTTTTTTTTTTTTTTTTTTTTTTTTTTTTTTTTTTACGGATCACCCTAACCAATCTTCCCTTCGATTAATTTACTTCAATATTTTTATTATAATTGTTTTGGCCAGTATTTGTTTTGTTCTATTCCTAGTTCCAAAAAAATTGGATTTTGTTTTATTTATTGACCGATGCTATAAATTTATAATGGACTAAACAATATTTGACAGGAATTTCAGTCAAGGTATTTTTATTGGGTTAGCCGACGTTTCGACCCAAACATGAGAAACAAAACGTCGGATAACCCAATAAAAATATATTAACTGAAATTCCTGTCAATTTTTTTTTCTTCCTTGTAATTGATCAGTCGAGTACTCTGCAGAGGAAAGAAATGTAAATAGTATAATAAACTACATTATATACAGTCGAAGAATCAGGAAACTGTTTACGGATATCAAAGTAATCAGAGGTGCCGAAATTGGCTCAGACCACCTTCTCCTTATAGGAGATACTCAAATTCTCTCTCCCAAGAAGAAGTGGCCCAGAAGCTATATGAAAATTAACATTAAACTTCAGACACCTGAAAACAAAGAGAAATATAAAGAACTTCTTAATCACAATATCCAGGAGGTCAGGATGGTTGGAAATGTGAACGTTCTGTGGGAAAAAATAAAAAATGCAATAATAGACTCAGCAACCACGACTTGCGGGATCACAAAAATCTCACCGAAAAGCAAAAGATCAGAATGGTTGATTGGAAGAGTGAAGACGGCAGTCAAAAGAAAGAAAACTGCTTGGAAAGATTACATTAGAGATAAGACCCCAGTAAATTGGGAACTCTATGTACGCAGAAGAAATGAGGCGAAGTTAGTTGTTAGAGTGGCAAAAAAAGAAGTGTTGGGAGGAATTTGGGAGAAGCCTACAGAGCAACTACCATGACAATGTTCAGATCTTCTGGAAAAAAATTAAAGCAATAAAAACAAAGAAAAGTAAGCCCTTAAGAAATATAAAGGGGCGAATTAATCACCAGAGATACAGAAATTCTGGATAGATGGAAACGCCACTATGAAGACATTTTCTCAAGCAACGATGCTGACAATAAGTTGGATATGTGTGAAACTCCTCTACAAGAATTTGACGAGATAATCTGGGAGGAAGAGGTAAGGCGGCTGGTAGGGATGGTATTGTGCCAGAATTTATTAAATACGGGAGACCTGAACTGATAAAAGCCCTACAGTGTCTCTTTGAAGAAGTACTGACTAAAAAAGTTATTCCAGAGGATTGGAAATATAATGTTATTGTACTAGTACATAAGAAAGGAAATACTAGCGAATGTGGAAATTACAGACCTATTTGTCTTTCACAGGTTATATATAAGATATATACGTCAATACTGGAGAAGAAACTTAGAGCAATGGTGGAGGAACATTTAGAAGAGAAGCAAGCTGCTTTCAGGCCTCACCGTCATACCCAAGACCACATATATTCTTTAAGAACAAAAATCGATAAGGCTTGGGAACGGAACAGAAATGTATTCCTCACATTCTTAAACATAAAGGCTGCATTCGATTCCGTCCTTAGAAAAGAACTATGGAAGGCCCTGATGGACAAAAATATCCCAAGAGGTTTGATAGATGCTATACGGTCCACGTATCAGGACTCAAAGGGCTTATCGATTAGTTAGAATAAATGGAATAGAGACCGATAGCTTTGCCATGAGTAAAGGTAATAAGCAAGGATACAGCTTGAGCCCCCTTCTGTTCATTATATATATGGACGAAATCTTAAAGATTTGTAAACGACGAACAGCGCGAATAATTGTAGGAAAATGGAACATGAGGACGATATCGACTCAAGTAATGGTATTTGCAGAGGATATCGTTCTCATATCAGACTCAAAGGAAAATCTACAGCAAGCGGTGATCGAATTAGCAAGAAAGGGTATGGCAATTAATGTCGGAAAGAGCAAAGTAAAGCAGATTGGACGGGATCAGGAGGTGGTTGAAATTTATTGCAAAGGAGAGGTACTCGAAATGGTGGAGGACTTCACATATCTATGTGCAGTAATAAACAAGAACGGAAGGGTTGACTATGAAATTTCCAACAGAATAAAAAAGGCCAATGATGTGTATTACAGCTTATGAAATACAGTCATTGGGAAAAGGGAGGTTGAGAGGAATGTAAAAAAGCATATTTTTAAAGCGGTATATCTACCAACCCTTATATATGGGAGTGAAAGTTGGGTCCCATTAACCAAACACCTTAGCAGAGTTACTGCTAGTGAAATGAAATATCTTCGAAAGGTAGCTGGCAGAACCAGGAGAGACCGGGTCAGGAATGAAAAAACAAGAGACGACCTAGGCACTGTCTCACTAAAGAATTCTATAGAAAAGAGGCAGCTGAGATGGTTTGGGCATGTATGCCGAATGAATGACGACCGCGACCCACGAAAATTCATGGAGGCGAGACCTGTAGGAAAGCACCCAAGAGGAAAACCCAGATTGTCGTGGATGGAGTACATCTCCCATATCGGGCAGAAAAGAGGTATGAGGATAGGGGGTATGAGGGCTCTGGCTCGGGACCGAAATGCTTGGGATGCATGGATTGAGGCACCTCCACGCTGAAAGGTACAAAGGAGGTAGAGAAAGAAGAAGAAGAAGAAGAAGTACTTAGCCATTTATAAATTGATACCTTTTTTTTATTTATATATAAGCTATATATAAATATTTGATTGTTGCTATTAAAACTAGTAAAGATTCAATACTTCAATTCGAGATAAATCCTATTCTCTTTCTTTAAAAATTAAAAACATCGAGGTCCGAAATACTGATAATTTCTATATATTTCGATAGTACTGAAAGACGAAAATGTCTATTTATTGAACTACTATTTCGATATATATCCTCATAATCAAGTAGAAGGTTTGTACCTCTTTGTTTATTTATACAGTAAAACATACCTTCCATATTACCTTCTTCATATTGCCACTAGGTTTCAATGTGTTGAGTTGTTTACTGTATAATAAAATATTTTCTCTTTCTGTCAAGCTTAGAGTTATTTTCTTTAAAATGGGGAAACAACAAAAGAAAAAAGGAAAGGGGGTAGAGAAGACATCAGCCAAAACAGAAAAAAAGTTGACCCAAAAAATGAAGAAAAAGTTAGCTCTAACTGGTGAGGTAAGTTGGGAAGGTACAATTATTTTGATATCCCGTTGTATGTTTAGATCAAAATGTAGTCATAGTGATGTGGAAAGATCATTATTTTTATTGATTAAGTGATAGTTTAACCAGTGTATAAATTGATACCAAGAATCTAAAATTGCCTTATGTTCCTTTGTTTTGTACCACTTTTTTCTATAATTAAAATTTAAGGGTTTTGTTAAGAAGTGAATAGAATTATTTAGGTACAAAATCGCATTGTAGGAAATTATAGTTTGGGCTCAGTTGTGTATTTAGCAACACCTACACTATTATATAGTAAATGATTGACTTGAATCTGTTAATGACAGAATAACACAATCTTGAAAAAATCAACTAGCTTATTGTCAGTAATATAACTTAAATTTTATTTTAAAACAAAGTTTTTTTTGAAGCCAGAAATTAATCATTTGTCCACGTTGAACTTTAGATTAATTTCTATAAATCATGATTAATGATGCTCGGTTTATTTCGTCTATTGAAACAAATTTATGTTCCTAACATATTGTAGCTTTTGTTTAAAATATCTGTTAACTGTTACTGGTGATAGCGCCAAAGCACTTTCAGCTTGGGTTTTAAGCACATTTATTTTCATTTTACTGTTAAATCATAATTGTTAAAAACTATTTTCCTGCTGTGTTATAATATGAATCGTCAACTTAGGTGGCAAATAAGTCTTGTGCTTTTTCAATTATTTGTCTTCTTTTATTTAATAGTCTCATGGATAGCACAAGCTATGAATAATGGGGTCATTAATGCACGAAACTTAGACCCATTAATCCTCTGCCCAATAGGTTTAATCTGTTTTTCTCTTTTGCCAAATTTTCTATTTGTATTAGTTTCTCATGAGTTGAAATTCTGTTTTCATTACATGGTGATTTTTTCAAGAGATATGCTTGATTCATATATTGTATATGTTTATGTCTGTTTGTTTATGAGTTCAGTGCTCCATTTTTTGTTTATATTGTGAAATTTTGATTGGTTAAGCTTAAAGAAATTTCAAATTTTATTTCTCTCACGTTTTTAAAAATTGTACATTATTATGAATATTACAATACAATATTATGAGGACTCCTTGGTTAAGGCAAGGAATTAGGAATATTTAAGAATTTTGCAAAATGGTGGCATAGTACACCATTTAAATGTTTTAAATTTACTTCCAAAACTGAGATATTTAGCTTATAATTTTGCATTTTGGTTCAATCATAATTATGAGCCATTGCTATACCAATTAAATATGAATCATCTATAACATTCAAATCATTTATTTGATGAAAAGAGAAGTTAGTTGGAGATTTCAGTCATTGGAACTCACAAAGATAAATTATAAATTTATATAAAATTTATTTTTGTATACTTACTATGACTGCAATCTCCAACCATCTTATGTAATAATCAACTGTCAACAATTTCTCCACCATTAATTATTTAATTCTTTTATGGTGCAGGACCTTTCCTCCCGTATAGGTCCATTCCTGCTTGTGGGAAAAATAAATTAGATTGCAATTAAAAAATCACCCTGTCTTCAAACAGGAAGACAGAGGGGAATTGAAGTGGGCAGTGCTTGTTTGTATTCAATTCTTTTCTTCAAATGTTGAAATGGATTAATCACTTTTATTTTTATCTTCTAAAAATTTTTGTTTGATCAGTATTTTTCAACTAATTGATCTCCTCTTTGATAATTTATTTGTAATTGTTAATCATGGGTAGTATTTTATATTTATTTCCTAATGAACTTCATTTCTCTATCTTTGTTATTTTAATTCAATAATTATCTTGAGTCTCTATTTAGACTGATATCTCATTTGTCAGTATCATAAGTATTTTTTCTTGAAGTGATATTGGAAAAAAAAAAATTACACTTGACTTCTTGTTTCGTTGAAATTTGGGATAATGGCCCATTAATCGCTAAAATGAAATTAATATTTTTTTGTAATAATCAAATGTGAATCAGTTTAGTTTCATAAATCAAAATGGTATTAGTATTAAATTAAGAGTTAATTTTTTTATTTCATCAGCTATCAAAGGAAATACTAATCATTCAAAATCTTTTTTTAACAATTTGAATAGAAATACTGTAGGTTCTGTTACCAAATTGTTACAGGATGACATAGAAGATATTGTAAAGCAAATAGAGAAAGAAGAACAGAAAAAGTTGCAGGTGATTGAAAAAGTTATTGCAACTCCTCCTACAAGGAGAGCATTTTGCTCATTAACAGCACATCCTTATAAAGATGAACTGATTATGTTTGGTGGTGAATTGCATAATGGCCATGAAGTAAGTCTTAAGTTTAAGTATGTAATTAGCAATTAAGAAAACTTAAAGAGAGAAATTAGATGTAGAAATGTAAACAAAACTCCTACTTCCATCTTGTATCTTTAATATGAAATGTGGCACAATTAATGCTTATAAGAATATTAATAATTGTAAGAAATATTTTTTTTTTGTGGTTTTCGCTAACTTGTTAAAAATGTCCTTGTGCATGAGCACAATCCTTAAGTCCAACTCTCAGTTAATTAATCCTGTAAGAACGTTTTAGTTCCTGTTATTTATGTTAATGTTTACTTTGACTAATCCATTAATTCCTTACAACTTAAGTTTATGGGGTCATTTGCATTTTTAAAACGCAGGTTTAATGTAAGAAGAAAAAATTTCCGGTCTTTTGAGAAGTTAATAAGGACTAAGCAAAAAGGCCTCTGCCAAAGAAATTTGTGCCATAAAAAGAAAGTCAATTTATTTTTTATTTTTTTATTCTTCCCTGCCTTGCCTTTCGGCTGCACAGGTTTTGCAGAAATGATATATCACACAACTATGTGCATGCCATCCCTGCTATTAAACATACAAGGAGAGTCAATTATCCAACGAAATACTGCCGCACTTTGGTTCAGGTGTTTCAATAATGGGAATTCAGCCTTGCTGATGAACCCAGATCAGCTCGCCCATTGGTCGTTGATGGTGACGTTCTTCTTGAATTTGTGAATCAGGACTTATGCAACTACTCGTAATTTATCAGGCATAGAATGCCACTGTGGCTCGCTAACTTAACAACCTGGTTGTATGGACTTTAAGACCAATGTCTGACCCACATTACTTGGCAGAGGCCTAAGTCTAGCAGTGAGTTGATATTTGCAAAATATTGATTCAAAATTCTAAACATGGCCCGTTCTGGAAAAATATTTTCACAAATGATCGAAAAGTGGATATTTAAAAAACTTCAAGGGTGTTTTGTATTTTGAGCTTCTTCCTGATGGTCAGACAGTGGACTCAAACCTTTACTGTGAACTGCTAGACAGAGATTATACAGTTTTGAGTGCAAAGTACTCCCCTTTGGTCAACAGGAACCTAGCCATTTTGCAACAACAATGCTCCTGCAGATCATTCTTGTTTGAACAAGGACACATTTTCAGAACTATTAATTAAATTGTTTAAAGTAAAGGCAAGGCATATATCTTTCCATATTTTGCTTCTTTTAATTTCATTCCATATTTATAATCTCTTCTCTAGAGTCCTCCATGTTTCTCTAGGCTGTCCACGTCTTTGCTGGCCTTGGAGGTTCCAATTTTTGGACTATGGAGTGGTTATCCTACAGGTAGCCACTAAAAAAATCTGGTGTGTCCACTCACACGACTTTCCTACCTATCTCAGAAAAGTTTTTATATCTTTATATATGTCCATCAAGAAACAAAAAAAAAAATGAATTAGATCTGTTTTCCTGAAAATTGCTCAAAGAAATGATTTGAGTATGATTTATTTGATAAACTAAAGCTATGTAAACCAGCTTAAGGTAGATCAATATGAAAATTTCTGTACTCTCTAATATTGCTGATCAAAAACTTTTTGCCATAGCCTAATTTTGTCAAACAATAATTTCTGTTAAAAGTAGAGGAAATAGTGAAGCTTGTGTGATGGGGGCAACAGATTTTCTTACTTTCACTTAGTTATCTTTTGTCTCTCATTCATCCCTTTCTGACACCAGGATATGTACCCCTAATCTTACATTGGAAATTTAATAGATGTAACTTCATTAATAGTTGTCCGAAATGACGATTTTTATATAGTTTTTTAGGGAATTTCATTGCCTTTCAAAAAAAAAAAAACAGGCTAAACAGTGTTTTTCTGACTCAGAGGGCTCTGAAATGTATAGATCCATCGAAAGCCGTATATCGGAAATTTTATCCGATCACAATTCTTTCCTTACCTAGTATAGGTAGGAAAGTAATAAATTAAAACATGTGTAGAAAATAGAATATGCGTTATCATCGCTGATACTGGTTCGATTCCGATGATTTTTATTTTTATTTTTTTTGGTATTTTAATTACCTTTCAAAGGTTTTGTATAAATTTTACCATAGAATATATACTTAGCAAGTTAGGCCCCAAAACATTTTTCTTTTCTTTATAACTTTTTTTCCTGAATTTTTTTGGGAATTTAATCTATTTACGAAAATTGAAAGGACAATTATTAGAACATTATAGGAAAGTATCATCAAAATCGTTTGAGCTGTTTTGGCGCTACAGTCTATAGAAAAACATGTTTTTCATTTATTGCACAGCAGCTATTGCCCATGGAACATCCAATTTGTGTAATAGGCATCAGTAGTAAAAATCCTACAAAATAAAAAAAGAAGCAACAAAATCAGTTCATTAGTTCTTGGGAAAATTTTGGCAGAGATAGACTAATGGCTAAAAATGTGTTTTTCGGGCTCAAGGGGCTCTGAAACGTATAGATCCGTCGAAAACCACATATCAGAAATTTGAGCCGATCGCAATACTTTCCGGACCTAGTATAGGTAGAAAAGTAAAAAAAAATTATTCTGCCCAGAGTGGTATGGTCGAAATATGTTTCTCAGGTTATCTGCCAAAATCAAATTGATAATTTAGGTTTTTAGATAGGCACTGCCTCCAATTGAGCTTTCGTTTAAATATTTTATGCTATATGTGAATTTGTCCGGTTTTGATAAACAGCTTTTTTCATTTGCTCTTGTATATGTAAAAAGGCACTCTCTGATATTGAGTTTTGTTTTAGTGTTCTATATATCAGACTTGTAACACAGCTGAGTTTGCTACTATACATTTTTTTAGGAAATGATTGGCAGATCAAGAGAATGGGACTGTTAGATAGGTAAACTCTTTCACTTCTTCGTAAAACAGTATTCATGTATTTAAAGGCGTTGTGCCTCCTTACTTTATTACCTCTTTGGAATGTCGAAACTACTGTCTTGTTAGGCCTTTTTCAAGGTAGTAATTTTCTAGGCTCTCGAGGTGTCAGCTAATATCATGAGATCGTCTGCATATAGGAGGATGATGAGTTAAGTTACATCAGTTAGTGGAATTCCTTGGAATTCTTCTGCCTTATAAAAGTCCAGTATATCTGACTTGTACAGTAAAAAAAAGCTGCAATATTGCAAGGGCTTAAAATATAAATATTGCCTTGTAAGACCTCTTCGGAAATTGGAACTTCACTGGATAATTTGTCGTCTTCATTAATTAGGAAAATGACTAATTCATATTCATTCATTAATAGACTGAGTACTTTCCCTTTAACCAATATCATAAAGCCTTCACCGTGGTCTTTCGCAATTTATAGAATCAATGTCGCGTTTAAAGTCTACAGAGATATCACTTTGGGTCTTTTCAAGCATAGCATTGTATTTTAAAGAAATTAATTATCTGGGTGGATTTTATGAAAAAAAGTGATTGTGAATAAGGAATTCATAAATAAAAAAAATTTAATATGCTAACAGAAATATTTAATCTAAAATGTTGTAATTAAGAAGTTTTTGACATATAGTAAACAACAAAATTATTAAATCCAAATAGGATACTCCTAAATAGAAACTGATTTTATAAATCTATGCTTATGGACAGTTTTGTCATTATTTTAAAAGTGTGAAAAAATAACAACTGAATATCTGTTGATTGATTGTGACATTGTAGAAGTAATGCAAAGTATTGAATTAAATATTGCACTTGATCTTATTTAATTTTATGTTGTTGTTTTTTTCATATAAGGTAAGAAAATGTTATATTGTAGTATTAGTATAGGTTATTTATTTAATTTTGAAACATATCCTAATGATGTTTCTATCTGGGAGTATCCTATTTTGACTTGTTTTTTTACTGTGATGTCTAAAATCTCTTAATCACAGCAATATTATTTTATGAATTAATACAGAAATTATTTGAAGATCTTAATTTCAAATATATTTTGAGTTTTATATTATTTTGGTTTAATGATGATTTTTTTTTTCTTTTTAGACATTTGTATATAATGACTTGTATGTATATAAAATTGCCACTGATGAATGGACTTTAATAAAAAGTCCAGGAGCACCACCTCCAAGAACCTCACATCAGGCTGTTGCAACTTCTGCCAACAAGGGTGAGTTATGGCTTTTCGGAGGTGAATTCACTACAAGAAGTGAATCGCAGTTTTATCATTACAAAGACTTATGGCTGTTTGAACTTGAAACAAAGAAATGGACAAAAATAGAGTAAGTAATCTGTTTTTAGTTCATATTTTCTATGAACATTTGACCAATATAGCATCCAATAAGTTAAATATTTTTTTCATATACGACTTCTTAACCATTTAACGCATAATAATTTGTCATCTTTTATTTATTTGTTTTTGTTTTTTAATCCCGCAGTTCTTTTTAGTCTTGCATAGTGGAAATGAAATTTTTAATAATTTTTTGTCTTTATCGTTTTCTGTTAAAAAACCATCCCATGGTCCTCCTTAACGATGAGATTGTTTTTAATAAAACTTAATGGTTATATAGGACATATTTGAGTTATGTAAAGAACAAAAAGAATTTAAGAAAAAATCTTCCTTGAAAAAAAAATTAAACCATTTCACTTATCAGTATATTTATAAAAGCATTCAGAATTCAGTACCTAATAATAATGAATAATATCAGTGAATTGAAATCATCCTAGCCCAATTATTTGTAATTACCAACTATATTGCATTTTTTTTTTTCATATGAAATAATTGCAGAATTATTTCATTGGAATATTTGTATTTTCAGAAACTTATAAAATATTAATGACTATTATGTGTGTATTCTAATTATTAAATTGATCTTTCAGTGCTCCTGGAGCTCCTTCTTCAAGAAGCGGTCATCGTATGGTTGTTGTAAAACGGCAAATCATTGTCTTTGGTGGTTATCATGATAATCTTCAGGATTACAAGTACTTTAATGATGTCCATGCTTTTAATTTGGACTCTAGGACTTGGAAAAAACTTGATCCTACAGGTTAATTACACTACTTTGATGTTCTAAAATTATCAAGACTATTAAATTATATTCTTAAAAAATATAATACATTTTCTATACTAAAATAGGATTGTGAACATATACAAATAATAATTTGCTTGTAATAATAATAATTGATCAATAAACATTTCTTGTAGGTACTCCTCCAAGTCCAAGGTCAGGCTGTCAGATGGTTAGTACCCCAGAAGGAAAAATTGTAATTTGGGGTGGTTATAGCAAAATCAAAATTAAGAAAGATGTTGACAAGGGTACTACACATACTGACACATTTCTTCTTCAACCTGAAAGTAAGTTTCGCTTCAAATTAATTGATAATCTCTTTTTTATATAGTTTATTGTTTGTTATTTCAAATCAGTAGACCACTGGAAATTATAGACTTCTGCTTTTAGATTTTTACCTCAATGTGCACATGTTCTGTAATTAGCCTCATACAAACAAACTGGTGTAATAGCACATCAGTGAGTAGTACCCCAAATTTGAGGATGACCATTACTAGGCTGAAACATGCCAAATCAAGTTTTGTTTTATTTTCATTTATTAAGTTTGTCTTTCTTTTTTTCCTTTCATTGTTCTTTATCCCTTTCTAATTCAACACTCCATTTATAGATTTTATTCATTTTAAGGTATGGCTCTTATTAGAATGCTTTGAAAGTCACAGTGTATTTTCATTAATCTTCCCATCACAGCCAACAATCTAATAATCTAGATAATGGTCAAACAGACAAGATTATTCTCAATATACCTACATTATTGGTGCTCATTTATAAGAGGAATTTATTTTTGATTCATTGCTTTTCTTTCTATCTTTTTATTTTTTAGCTAAGTAGCGGTTATTTTGTTTCGTTTCTTATATTTATTATGTTTAGTTGTAGGTATTTTGTATATAGTTTCTTCAGTTCAGTTTTTTATATTTTGTTAGTTTCGTAAGTTTTTTAAAATTTAATTTAGTTCTTCTGGCCAGAAGTATTTCTTTTGTTATTCTTAGGGGAATTCGTCCCTGAATAAATTTATTTTTCAATGTCTATTTCTATTATTCTTCCTTCTCTCATCTGAAATGATATTCTTATAAAGTTCACCTTAGACATTGTGATCATATATATTTTGGTAGTTATTATCTAATTCTAAATGATATATATTCAAATAATTTTTCATTTACATTGAAAAAATTATTAAAACTTAAATTTTTATTATTTATTTTGTTTAGAGGGTGATGAAACAGGGCTAAAATGGAAATGGAGCATTGTGAAACCAGGTGGAGCACGGTATGGTGCTAGAAGTGGAGTTTCTTGTACGTTTTGGGGAAAGAAAGCATATACTTTTGGCGGTGCAGCTGATAATGAAACAGAAGAAGATTTGTCTGCAGTGTTTTATAACCAGCTCCATTCATTCGATCTGCATCAGTTTATTTGGTCTGAAAGTGAGTATTCAATTTTTTTTTTGTTTAGGTTAAATACCCTTGATATTCTAGATAAAGTCTACTGAAAGAAAATAAATTTTGAAGATGATAAATAGTCAGGATTTTCAGTCTATCTTTCTTTTATTCAGTTTGCCGACATTTCGCCAAAGCAAATGTTGGTCAAAACAGAGCTAGGATGAAAAAACATTTTACAAAAATACCCACCTCAAAAATAAATTTTGTTATCCTCAGTCAATTCATATTTCATTAATTACAATTAAAGTGAACTTTTATTACCCTAAAAAGCAAAGTGAAACAAGGATTATGTGTTTGGTTCGTCCACTAAAAGCTATGTAACACTTTTTTGAGCAAAAGGGTGGATTGATTTTTAAGTTTGATAACTCAAATTATTCGGTGAGATTCTAACAATTAAATTAATCCTAAATGAGACCTAATAGGCAATAGCTAGAATATTTGTATTAAAGAGCTGACAGCTTTTTAAAATATTTGAGCATTTCTCCTTTTTCCCTCTTCTATGAAGAAGACCTATATTTCAAAAGAGTACACTTTTTAGGACTGGATTATTGGCCAGCAAGGAAAAGGTATTTAGATAAACAAAAAAAAAAAAAGTCAATTGTAATAATGCTGAATGTAATATTGAGAATTAAGCTTTAAGTTTAAGACATTCTGAAATCCTGCATTGTTTTATGTACAGCTTCATTTTGTTTTATTGGTTTAGATGTAAATTTAAGATATATACATTTATATATATATATATATATATTTTTTATAGTCGCATTAAAAGGAAAGAAAGAACAAAATAAGCCAAGAAGAAGAAGGAGAAACAAAGACGATGATTGTGAAGATGAGGAAAATGACGAGGAAATGCAAGTTGAAGAAGAACCACTAGTAGAAGTAATATAACCTTAGTTATTGAAAGCAAAGGATATTAATGTAATGTTATTAAATTAATATAAATAATATTATCATATTTCAGGAAAAAGTTGTTGAAGATGGTGTCTTTACAATGAGAGTTAGCACAGTACAACCTACTAAAAATGAACCTAATACTTCATCAAGTATGGCTGTGGATATTGTATCACATCCACACTCACGTATAAATTGTTCTCTTGCAATTAAAGGTCACAATTTGTTTATGTATGGTGGTGTATTTGAAGAAGGTGACAGGGAGCATACTCTTGGAGACTTTTATTCACTAGGTAAGAATTTAATATACACCATTAGCCCTTTGGCTGGTGTTCCTCAAACCTTCAATTTGATTTTTACAATGGGAATAGTTCAGCATAAATTTTGGCAATAATTGCTTTCATGACCTGAAAATTATGAGTTGTTAGTATTAAAGAATGAGTAAATATCCCACTGGAATTAATTTAAAAATTAATCAAGTCAGTGTAAGCCATAATAAAACTAAAACGATGAAGTCCATTTAAAATCAATTTTTTTCAAATGTTAATTTGTTTTTAAAATACTTCTCCTGAAAAATTATGAATTTTGAATTGTACCATTGTTGCAGCAAATGAGTGATATTAAATAATTATACCCGAGAGATAAATTTAAGAGTACATGGGACGATTGTTTCTTATTAAACATCTTATATTATACTAATGCAGAGGTCTCTGAACTTCGTCCAGCAGGTCAAATGTGGTCTTAAACATAAATTCTAATTTTTGTTGCATTGTAAAAGAAACAATTTACATAAATCATCCAAACTGCAGCTTGTCAGTCAGTGAACAAGCAAGAAACCTACCCCCCCCCTCCCCTGGAAACACTGTCACTTCTAATTGAAAAATGACATGTGCTTAACCAATGAAAAATATCTAGCTATCCCAGTGACAAACAGGTACTATTTCTAATAAACTGAGGAAGCTTTTACAGTAATACAAACAAGAAACTTACAACATACATCTGACCAACTTACAGACAAGTAACAATACTCTCTGGCAACAAACACGAAAAATACTAAGATACCACCAAACAAACCGGACAACGCATGGGCTAGAAGCGATAAAGAGAAAGCAAACTTATTTGCCACTCATTTTACAGACATATTTCACCTGCATGAAGCCTTGCCTGACCAACAGTATTGCTCAGATGTCCAACGAATTCTCATTTCTCCCCTTTCTCTTCCTCCTTCCCCTATAACTCCTTCATACATTGAATTTAGTATTAAAAAATTACCTCAGGAAATCTTTTGACCTAATCACACCTAAAATTGTAAGACTTCTACCCCAAAAAGGGTTAATCTTTCTGACAGCTATTTACACTTCTATTCTTTGGGTTACTTACTTTCCTCTAATATGGAAGTTTTCAATCATAAAAATGATATAAAAACCAAGCAAACCTTCTGACCAAGTCATGTCTCATAGGCCTATCAGTCTTTTACCCTTATTTTCCAAAATATTTTAAAAATTGTTATTAAAGCAACTCTATCCATTCTTAGAAGCTAACAATATTATTTCTAGTCACCAATTTGGCTTTAGACCTGCACACTCTACAATACAACAATGTCATAGAGTGATTGATACAATTGCTGTGGCATTGGAAAAGTAGGAAATTTGCACAGCAGGTTTCTTTGATGTCACACAGGCCTTCGATAAAGTGTGGCATGATGGTCTTCTTTGTAAAATTAAATCGATCATACTGCATACTTGCTATTTAATGATCAGATCGTACCTTGAGAATAGATTTTTCGTTGTCAACCAGGATGGTAAACTATTGCCGAATCGGTGCAGGAGTACCTCAGGGCATTATTTTAGGTCCAGTTCTGTACTCTATTTATATTTCTGACATTCCATAGATGCCAGACACATTACTCGCAACTTATGCAGATGATACTGTCATACTCTCGGCAAATTCTAATCCGATTGTAGCATCCCAAAAAATAAGATTCATTTAAATCTACTACAAGATTGGCTTGATAAATTGTGCACTAAAATTAACATAGATAAATCAAATCAGGTTCCGTTTACACTTAGACGCTTGAATTGTCCTCCGCTGACACTTTACAACATTCTTTTGCCTAATCATACAGAGACAAAATATTTGGAACACAATGGATAGATGACTGACCTAGAAATCGAACGTGACTACACTGAAAAAGAGATTAAACCATCATCGACTCTCACTACTAAGACGAATGCTTTAACATAAAAACAAACTATCACTTTCTAACAAAATTATTATATACAACACGCTACTCAGATCAATATGGACATATGCTACTGAGGTGTGAGGTTCATGCAGAAAAACATACTTACATACTATTCAAATCTTCCAATCTAAATTTCTCCGGTATATCACTCATTTTCTCTTCTATGTGACCAATAAATCGCTTCGTGAAGACCTAAAAATACCACAAGTGACTGACGTAATTAAGAAGTTTTACAAAAATGTTCACGACTCACTTATTGGGCATCCTAATCCCCTTGTACATTGCTAACAGACACGCTACCATAGAATCCAACAAGAAGACTCAAACTTCTCTGGAGCTGAGATCTGCTACATTAATACATCATGGTAGGAGTGCCTTTGCTAGGAGGTTTCTCCAATCAAGCATCTATGTTAATACTGCATAGGAAGTTGACGTATGATGATCACATTTACAATATACGCCAAAGGCATTTTAAAATTTTTCAATAATGAAATTTATTTATTATTTTTACTAATAATTCATAAATTTAATAAATTTTTTTTATTATTAATTTCAAATCAATAAAAAAAAATTGTATTCAGATTGTCACTACTGTTATGCTACAAGTAGAAAGAACTACAAATTACCTTTTTATTTTGCAGTAATATGAAATAATAGAGAAATAATTAAGGAATTTTTTTCTTCCTGGTCATTCTTCAGCAGATTAATTCTAACATTTATTTGCCTATGTAATTTATCAATTATGTGAAATATATGTCAATCTAAACATTACATCAATGTCAAATACAATTTTGTTGTCGTTTTCAATAATGTCTTATTGATTATTTAGAATCATCGAAAGAAAAAAATTTTTATTATAATTTAAATAATTAAAAATGTTAAACAAATTTGACTTCAAAATTGTACTCTTCCATAAAAATTACTAACTTCATTGTGTTTGGAGTGAATTTTGCTAAAAGTGGAAATTTGATCAGCAAAAATAGTATATTAAGTACTAAGTGGTTGAGGTTAAAATAAAATAGGTTTTCACTTTTTTAAATTTTATGATCACCACCCCTGACCATCTCTTTTCTTTTGTATAGAATCATTTTTATAGAACTTTGAAGTACTTGAATTTTTATAGGATAATATTTACGATAAACCTTAATTTTTGAGGTATTCAGGAAAAAAAAAAAAAAATCAGTTTTCTGTCCTTTATCTCTCCCCATCGAAACCCGATCTGGTAAACTTTAGGACTTTTAACCAGTTATTATGAGAAGTGTAATTAACAATTTCTGACAAGATTCAGGATTTTTTAAATATCCCAGTCAATCCCTGATTTGACAGTACTATACCACCTTCACTATAATTCAATAAATAGGGCATAGAAAAATTAACCAAAGAATTGTTATTTAAATAACAAAAATTAGAAGCTTCATGGAAAGGACTTCTGTGGTGCAATCCTTGCATGTTAATTATAGAGCGTTACAAAATCTTTTTGATCAGCTTCAACTTATTTTGGTGGAGGGGGAGGGTTTGGGTTAAGAGTGTTTTGTTTTACAGTTATAGAGGAGCGGATTATTACAGAAATAGCTCGCCAATGGGAAACTCTTGAAGTGGCAAACATTAAAAGATTGTATGCTCTGATAGAAGGTAAAAATATGAACTAAGATGGGATTTTTGTGTTATTTCACATTTTATTTGTATAACACCACTTTACATTACAACTTATTACCTATCCGATTCACAATATGAAATATTATATTAAAAACAAATATCCATCCATGCCCCCAAACTTTCTTTGGTACTTGAAAGTGAACTCCAGCGGTAGTTCTGCACGGCTTTTCTGACCATGGGTAATTTTCATCCCTCCATACTTTTTAATGTTTTCTCTTTCTTCTCATTATATTATTATTACATATTATATTCATGATTACATGTATCATCCATGCTTTTTATTGCATTCAGTATTTGCTTATCTACGTTTATTGTTATTTTTAATTCCCTTTGTTATGATTGGTGGTTACTTGGTTTTATATTTGAATATTTTGCCCAAGTAGTCAAATAGGTAGTTTTATAATAGTTATAATTATTGCCAAACTTAAGATTATTGGTATTTTTAGATCTACACAAATGTGAGGAGTGGAAAACTATTATACCATGCGACCTGCAGAATGAAGAATGGATAGAATCTGAATCTGATGATGATGAAGACGATGATGAAGATGAAAATGACCAAGACAGCGACTCAGAAGATGAAGAAATGGAAAACACTTGTTAGTCGAATTCCATTTTCTTTCATTGTAAATTACTTTTATTTATACAATATTATTTAAATATTTTTAAAATGTTATTTGTTTATGTTTGTTTACAATAAATTTTAAAAAATATTTGTTACTTTCTGTTAGAACATATCCCAAACAGTTATATTTAGATATTTTTGGTACACCTGTATCAGTGGGTTATAAAAAACAAAACAGTGAATTACTAATAATTGTTTTGAATATTACATTTTGACATTCCAATAGAGATCGTGCATAATATAGTAAAGGATTACCAGCAAAATCAATGGGGTGTAAATAATTTAATGTTATGATTCAGTGAAGTTTTGAAAAATTAATTATTGTTGTAAATACTTTTTTTTAATTTTCAGGAATTTAAATAAATTTCCATACCTAAAAAAATATTCATTTTTCAATTTTTGAGTCATCGTCCATTTTCAAGAAAAAATTTTCCTTAGTTGTTTTTGTTCATCTTAAAATATTACTTTCTCTTGGAAAAAACGGTTTTCACAATTCAAAATAATAAAACTTTTCTGTCTTAATTTTCACATATTTATCATTATTTAAAATAATACATTGTCCTACTTCTATTTCAATAATCTTGTTGAAGTACTTACCTAGTTCTGCCATAAATACTGTTACAAAAGTTGAACTTTCTTTACATCCTTGGATATTATTTAGATATTCCTTACCTCTATCAGGTTATTGTCTTTACAGTTAACATGGAGTGGGGTGATAAAGAAAACCGAATAGCTGTGATCGCCTTACACAAAGTTGGAAAATGTAGATCAGAGATTTTCAATACTTTAAACCTTAAAACCAGCCGTATGTTCATGTGCCGCACTATTAATAGATATAATGAGACCTTATCTGTATATGACAGACCTCAACCAGAACGGTAAACACAGTGAGAGCAATGGCTGCTTGAATCAGAAGAAATCCCATTCGAAAACAACAAATCATATCTCGGGAAATGGGAATCTCTGTCAGATCAATGTCTAGCATAATAAAAAGTGACCTTAGGATGGATGCTAATGTTTAATGGATGGGGGAGGAGAGGATAATGCTTAATTTATTTCATACTAGCTTTACCCGGCCACGCCCTGCAGTGGCTTAGTCTGGTAAAATGGAAAAGAAAGAAAATAGAAAGCACATATGAGTGGAATAATAAAGGAAATCTGTCATTTTTAAAGAGTTGGGAAACATGTTTGTCTGTAAAATGGCTTTAATTTAAACTAATTCTAATGATTTTTCTTCATGATTCAACTTGAACATTCTTAATCATCAGAAACAGTCTGAGTTGAACTTATAAAACTAAAATTGACTTTATCTCCACTTTCTGAAAATTACAGGGATCCGTCTTTGATAATGTAGCCACTCATATATTTTCATGTTAAATTTTATTATTTTTTAAAATATTTAATGTATTGTTTAATTTTCAACTTTGTGTTGATCATTTTATGGCAAATAAAAATGTAAATATTTGTTTGTTCAAACTCTTAAATCTCGGTAAGTTCTTCACCCATTGCCTCGTAATTTTGGTTTAATGTTGCATTTGAATATGCGCGTGGTTAAATATATCTACTATTATAAAATATAAGGTGAAACTATACATATTATTAAAAACGCACCATCAGTTGGATGTAAAAGTAAACACATGCGGTTCAAAATATTTTACGATACTGTTTCCAAGTTAAAGATTTTCCGATATCAATCGTGGCAATGCATTGAAATTGTGCTGTACCATTTATCATAGCGTTCATTTCGTGTGCATTAGAGCTGCCTTCCACCTTCCTCACAATATTTTGCATATCCCTCCTAAGACAGTTGATTGTTTGCTTCTTCTTAGTAACAACTTGATTAAATATAGAGTTGTAAAAATTGTAGTGGAAAAATAAACCATACTCATGAAAGAAATCCTACGGTAAACGTCACAACCTTATTCCAACATAATGTTAGAGAAAAGAATTTATTAAAAAATAAAATAAACTGATTTCTAACAGGAACATAAACTGTGATAAGTATTACTTTAGAGTTAAATATTTTTAAATAAATCAATATTTGAAATGTACCATACTACTTAAAGAATACATTGAGAGGAAAATAAAAAAATGAATATAAAGAGCGTATAATAAAGTATTGACCTACATAAGGAGAATCACATCACTTCTGCAAGTGATAATTTCAATTACTGTAGTAATTATACAATTTTTGATTAACCAATAACAAAAAAGAAAGTAAATAGCTAGCCTTTTCTGAAGAGAAAGTAGTAAATGTTTAAAACTCTATAACTCTGCAACGAATCGTCCGATTTCGATGATTTTTGTTTTATTTTGTAGGGTATCCAAGAATCTTTGAAATGAATCAATAAATCAATCAATAAAAAAATGTGTGCTTTTTGAGTTATTCACTAATAAAATACAGAATTCATCATAAAAATTTATGCAGTTTGTTTTCAGAAAAGTATACATAAATTATAAATGTTTCAAGAGGAAGATTTTAGCCAAGTTTTGTTAAAATCGTTAAAGCCATTTTGGCGCTACAGTTTATAGCGATATATTATTTTGCGGCTTTGAACAAAAAACCATTTGCATTTTTTTTTTTTTACATATATAAAATTATCGTAAGACAGAAGTACTATGTCAGAAACCGTTGCAGGAGTGTACAGAATTTTCGTTGTTATGAATTATTTACATTATCTATATATATATATATATCAAAATGAATGTATGTCTGTCTGTTTGTCCTTTGTGCTTTACTAAACCATTCATCCGATCACCATGAACCTGTGGGAAGTTGTTCCGTACACTCCTGCGAAGGTTTCCGGCATAGTACTTCTGTCTTACGATAATTTTATATATGTAAACAAAATAAAAATACAAATGTTTTTTGTCCAAATTAATGAAATTAAATGAAAAAATATTTTATTATTCTGGGACTGTTGTCCCTTTAGAACAAAATATAAATACAGATTGTATGTCGTGTGATGTTGTGTGGTTACAATTAGATTGTATATTTACAATAAGAGTTGACTAAAGATAAAAATACTGAAAAGAGAAAGAAAAGAACAAGAAAGTTGTACGTATATATGAGAAACTAAAATAAATTGAAGTAGTCTCTTGCGGTGCTTAGATATTTCTCCTAAGTATATTTCACAACCAGTTGGATTGAGAAAGGAGTAGGTGCTTAAAGAGGAGATGTGTCGCTATAATGTGTGATAGTGTGATAAATAATGTGTCACTATTAACTGTAGTGCAAAACGGCTTCAACGATTTTTATGAAACTTGGCTAAAATCTTCTTCTTGAAACATTTATAATTTATGTACAAAACATACTTTCCTGAAAACAAGCTGCATACATTTTTATGATGAATTCAGTATTTTATTAGCGAATAACTCAAAAAGTACACATTTTTTTTATTGATAATGTCAATATTTATTTGAAAGCTTCCTGAGTCCCCTTTAAAATAAAACAAAAATCATCAAAATTGATAAGAATTATCTCCAAAATGAAAGAATTTGTAGCGGCCGTAGGAGTAAAGTGGGTTAAAATATGTTTTTTAAAGGAAGAACAAAGTTGATATTTGTATTTCGCCCCTTGATAAACCCTCATTTACCAATTTTCACTGGAATCGAAAAATAAAAATTTTTGCGTCGAATTTTCAAGGCAGAGAGAGATCTCATTATTTTCTAATAATCACAAAAGTTGTCATAACTTCGATATGGCTCTACTTATCCAAACGAAAATTTGCATGCATTTAGAGCTGTATAATATACCCAAAATGGCATAAACCAGAAGTCTGTAAATAAATTAGGCTTGGAGATAAAAAATAAAAAAGTGTTTTTCTTTCTTTATTTATTCTTTATGAGGGCGTTAAATATAAAAGTTGTTTATATAGGCTTAAAGAGCAACAACTCAGCTTATCAATGGTCATACAAACATTGAATTAGGAGAAAATCATGAGTTTTTTTAGTGAAAAGCAGGTAAAAAGATTCTAATAGAGAGTGGTTTGGTATCCATGGTAACCAGATCACATCATCTACCAATATCCTATATATTATTTCTGAAAGGTGTTTTATTATCGGTACGCCATCACTTCGTCAATTCTTCATCAAATCCAATGATTGACCACTCATTTTAAACATATTATTCTCCTTCACATGCGAAAAATAGTCCTATCCTCCCGAAATTTCTGAAAAAAAGTTATGAAGGAAAAGAAACTTTATTTGCTAATAACTCAAAAAGTACGCATTTTTTTCTTGATTGTACACATGATAATTAGAAAGATTACTAAATTACATACAAGACAACAAAATAGGATAATTAATAAAAAATGAATAGCTGCGTAAGATTTGTTATTGGTGCCCTGAGATACTCCCATGTCTCTCACCACTACACTGAGTTAAGGTGGCTCTTCCCCTCCTTTAGAAGACAATATTTCCTAGGTACGTTCCTCTATCAAATCATCAACAACCATCGTCCTTCTTACGCCTACAACCTTCTCCAATTCAAGTCCTCAGTCCACTCCCTTTCAACAAGATCTCGACCTTCTGACCTCTACATTCCTTCTCACAGATCTGCCTCATTTCAAAACTCTTTTATAGCTCGCGCTGTCAATTTCTGGAATTCTCTACCCATCAAAATTCGGCATTCCCCCTCCATATCCACATTCAAATCCCTCCAATTCCAATTCCTATCCCAAAAACAGCTAAACTTTTGATATTATACATTTCTAGTCATCATCAAACGATAGTACTATTCTATACTGTGAACTTCATGGGATATTACAATATCTTCTTGCTCTTAATCCACTGATGGCATCTATTGTTTGTTTGTTTTTTTTATTCGTATATAATTAATTCTGTACCTATAGCTAGAATTAGACATTGATGAGTCTACATATTATTTATTATTTAAATGCACTGACATTTTATATTGTCAGCTTTGTCTTTTCTTTGTTAGCAGAAACACACCTCATTTTAAAGAAGAACTTAATGTATTTTTGATTATTTTATAATTATAATTTTTCCTACTGTACATAGGTTTAATTGTTTTGTATATAGATTTTTTTTTTTTTTTTATATATATATAGCTTGTTTAACTAATATTTTATTT